AACCAAATGGTCAAAAAAAAAATATGTGTACAAACTGTTTAATGAGAAGCTAGTTTGTTCTGTAAACCTTCATCTAAAGTACAATTCAAAAAAAAAAAAAAAACTGGGTAGAACAAAAAGTATTATCAACGTCAATATTCCTTAATTTATAGTCATGTAATTAAAAATAATCACATCATATAAATTATATGATAAGTTGTCAGAATCAACTCGATGGCAATGGTTTTTCTTTTTTTTTGGTTTTTACTTCAGATAAAACATTAAGTCAACAGCAAAAGGAACTAAACACCACAAGGAAGGCAAGCAGAAACCATGGAAACTTAGCTTGTTTTCTGTCAAATGATGTGAATCATATTTCATCAAAAGATGATGTTAGTTTTTCAAGCTCTGAAATTTCTTCATGAATTTGACTCAAGGCTTTGATTGCTGGCTCTAGAACTAGAATTCAAAATCTGGTGCTGGATGACATTTAAGTTGTTGGTGGAGTTGTTTGTTTTAATCAGCCCCCCATTCGCTGGCTACTCTTCTCCTCACCCTCACAGTTTGTCCCCAGACGTGTCTCCAGTGCTTTTTTTTTTTTTTTTTTTTACCAACCCATCAATTGCTCTGGCTTCCTTAATTCTACAAATGTACATACTCTCTTAATTAGCAAAACTCCTCATTAGAAAGGTGGGGAGGAAGAAAGACTATGAATGCCTATTCTTTTATATATTCTTCATATATTATATGCATAAATATTTTTTTACAGACACATATACACATAGATATAAAGAAAACATAGTATTTTAGGCTAGTCAACAGAGAAAAATAACCTCAGATTAGGATATCTTTCAAAAATTCTATATAAAAGACACTGGCCCAGAATTCCATCCACTTTGGACTTAAACCCAGGGAGCTTTAGAGAAGACACATTCTTTCAGGCTCTAGTTTGGTTATGAGTTGCCTCCTGAGTCTTATTTAAAAATCCCTAGCAATCTTCAATAACATATATTTCCCATCTTCTGAGTGAGAGGTTACCCTCACTTTAAGCCAATGAACTCTCTAATATCAACGTGTTCTGCAATTTAGGTTGCAATGTAACCAATCTTTCTACCATTTCATTGGTGTTTATGAGAACAGTTTTTGACCCTGAATTGGTTGAAAGAAGGTATGTGAGCGATAGTACTACACCTGCAGCTAAGAAATAAAGAAGACTATCCCAGCATGTTGAAATTCAAGTTTTATGGTGCTTTGAAAGTCCTTCAAGGAAATGCGGAAGAAAGTAGGAGATAAAAGCAGCAAGAAATAGAAGATTTGCAAAACCACAACAAGATACCATCTCACCCCAGCATTACTGGCAGGAATCAAAAAACCCAGGAAACAACAAATGTTGGAGAGGCTACAGGGATCCTGGAACTCTTATGCACTGCTGGTGGGAATGCAAAATACTACAATCATTCTGGAAAACGTTATGGCACTTCCTTAAAAAGCTAGAAATAGAAATACCATATGATCCAGCAATTCCACTCCTAGGAAAATATGCTAGAGAAATAAGAGCCGTCGCACGAATAGACATACGCACACCTATGTTTATTGCAGCATTGTTCACAATAGCAAAAAGATGGAAACAACCTAGATGCCCATCAACAGATGAATGGATAAACAAACTATGGTACATACACACAATGGAGTACTATGCAACGATAAAGATCAGTAACGAATCTGCAAAGCATCTCATGACATGGATGAATCTGGAGGGCATTATGCTGAGTGAAATAAGTCAATCACAAAAGGACAAATATTGTATGAGACCACTACTATAAAAACTCATGAAAAGGTTTGTTTGCACACAAGAAGAAACAATCTTTGATGGTTACCAGGGAGGGGAGGGATGGGGATGGAAAAACACTAAATAGACAATGGAGAAGAAGAGTAAGAGAGTACACAATACCGGGGAATCCAGCACAACTTGTACAAGGCAAGGTCATGGAAGCTCCATAGATACATCCAAACTCCCTGAGGGACCAAACGGCTGAGGGCTGTGGGGACCTTGGTCTCGGGGAACATCTAGCTCAATTGGCATTACATAGTTTATAATGAAAATGTTCTACATTCTACTTTGGTGAGTAGCCTCTGGGATCTTAAAAGCCTGTGAGCAGCCATCTGAGATATTCCACTGGTCTCACCCCTTTGGGAGCAAGGGAGAATGAAGAAAACTAAAGACATAAGGGAAAGATTAGTCCAAAGGACTGATGGACCACAACTACCAAGGCCTCCACCAGACTGAGTCCAGTACAACTAGATGGTGCCCGGCTACCACCACTGACTGCTCTGACAGGGATCAAAATAGAGGATCCCAGACAGAGCTGGAGAAAAATGTAGAACAAAATTCTAATTCACAAAAAAGACCAGGCTTACTGGCCTGACTGAGACTGGAGAAACTTAGAGAGTATGGCCCCCGGACACCCTTTTAGCTCAGTAATGAAGTCACTCCCAAGGTCTACCCTTCAGCCAAAGATTAGACAGGCCCATAAAACAAAACAAGACTAAAGGAGCACACCAGCCCAGGGTCAAGGACTAGAAGTCAGGAGGGGACAGGAACGCTGGTAATAAGGATCCCAAGGTCGCAAAGGGAGAGTGTTGATATATTGTGAGGTTGTTAACCAATGTCATAAAACAATATGTGTACAAACTGTTTAATGAGAAGCTAGCTTGTTCTGTAAACCTTCATCTAAAGTACAATAAAAAAATTTTAAAAAAAGAAACAGGAGATTGGTTGCAGTCATTTGATATAAGGGTCACCATAAACTTTGCTGCAGCTAGACAGCAATAACCTACAGTACATTAGCAGAAGGTAAGTGGATGGAAACAGGCTAGAGTCACTTCATAACTTGAAGGATTTTGACACTTCCAAAGAGGGATCGCTAAGGTGCACGTCCATACTGAAAGGCCCAAGGGAGGTGGTGTGAGCATTGATAGTCTGCTCCAGGGACCTTTCCAAAATGAAAATGTGGTCGTAACAACCCCCACCCCCACCTTAAAACTTTCATGGCTTCTCATTGATCTTACAAAAAAGGAGAAATGTCTCTCCTGCCTGTAAGGTCCAGCACGGTTTTTCCCCTCCCTACCTCTCTAGCCCCAGCTCCAAATCCTCTTCCCCTCCAAGGTCTCAGCACTGCAGCCACACTGGCCTCCTCTTGTCTCTGGTTAGGGCTGTTTCATTAGTCACAGGGCCTTTGCACATGCTGCTTCCCCTGTATGGAAGGCTCCTACCTCTCCAATTTACCTTGTCAGTACTTGTATAACTTGCAAACCTCATCTCAAACACCATTCCCTGAGAGGCATTCCCTGAGCTCCCTCCCAAAAACTAGACCAGAATCCTTGTGTTTGACTCTCATGGCATCCCAAACTCTAATAACTCCCTCTTCACACTTTATTTATTTGGGTGATTATTTGATTAATATTATATCACTCTCTTGACAGGAAGCTCCATAAAAACAAGGGTTGTCACTTTTTGTACACTATTAAGGGTTTACAATGCCTGTTTTTCTACACTACCGAGGGTTCGATATGTTTCTGGCAAACCTCAATAAATATTGGCTTTTATTAGGTATTCTTTTTACAATTTTTTAAGAGGAGTTTAATTTTTTTAAATCATCTGGGCAGATTTATCAAAATATAGATGACTAGGCCCAGTCCAGACACAAAGAGATTCAGTTGGTCCGGGTGTAGCTTAACTAAAAACAACAGTTGCCATCTAATCAATTCCAACTCACGGTGACTCCACGCGTTTCAGAGTAGAACTGTGTTCTGTAGGGCATTCAGTGACTGACTTTTCAGAAGTAGATTGCCAGGCACCTCTGGGTGAACTCAAACCACCGACCTTTTGGTTAGTACTTAACCATTTGCACCACCCAGGGCCTCTTAAAGACTCTTAAAGATCCACAAATTATTCTAATGTTATCAAGGTGTGAGAATCATTGAGCCACACTAATAGGTAAATATAAATGAACATTTACGTAATATCAGAAAGACGATGCACTTTCTAAATATGACACCAAAGACAGAAATTGTAAAGGAAAAGACTGATAGATTTGACTACATAAAAATAAAAGTCTTTCATGTTAAAAACTTTTAATTGAAAAAATTAAAAGCAAAAGTATTTTGTAACATATATGTTGGTGGATTAGTATGCTCTCTAGATACAGATCTTGTACAAAAGTAAGGCAATATTGACCTTTCAATTAATTTTAAAATGGGCAAAGGATATAAATAGGTAATACACAGTAGAACAATACAAATCACAAATAAATCTATGGAAAGTACACAAACTCACTAAGGATTAAAGAAATGAAAATGAAAACAAAAGTAGAATACCACGTTTTCACTTTTCAAATTGATAAAGGTAAATAAAAATATGATAATATTCAGTATGGTTAAATGGATGGGAAATTGACACTCACATACACACTGGTGGGAATGTGTAAAATGGTGGGAGGAGTAGTAGTAGCAGTAATACCTGTGCATGAGAATGATAAACACACATTTCAGGGAAGAAATTATTTCCAGTGAGGAAAACAACAGCAGGGAGAGGTGAACATGGGGCTTAAAATCTATTGCAATCTGGCAAGTTTGGGTGATGGATTCACTGGGGTTCATTATATAATTCTCAGTACCACTCTGTGTGCTTGAAGGATTTCATATTTGTTTTCAATGATAACATTTCACAGCAGAGGAGAGCTGAATAAGAGCTACTAAGGGTGCTTCTTCTAAATTTTCCAGCAAGACAAGTGGTAAACTATTGGCTCTCCCTACTTCCTGTCTTGCCACCCATATCCCTAACCCTCGCACCCTAAATTACATTCCCGACTAAATACCTGCATTCAACCCTTTGTCTCAGGTTCTGCTTTTTTGGCCCTACAGTGAAAATCTTCCACGTTCCTCTCCTGTCTGTTCTAGGTTTGAGATCTGCCTTTCCCTGACCCTCTCAAGCTCTCACCTCCACATCACACACAGGAAATCTTCATTCATCCTGAGAGCAGGGACTGTGTCAAATACAAGGTCACACCCCTCACAGCCTGTGGCATGGGACTCATCAGAGAATCACAAGCTGCACAATTTTTCGAAGAACAGATTTGAGTAAAACCGCTGAGGCGCCCGAGACCTCAGAACTACATTTCCCAGAGATCCCGGGGATGATTCCAAAGTGGACTCTGGGGGCAGGACTGTGTAGAAAGCCAATAAGGGCCCTTCCACTTCAAGTGTGAGGACTGCTCTCTGCCTGGTTCCTGGTTGCTGGTCTTAACGGCGGCGCGGTGAGATACAGTGTACTTTGAATTTGGAAATAAATCTTATATCAGGTGGGAGGCCAGGAGACGGTATACTACAGCCTTCCTGAATTTCAAGTCATAAGGTGGGTCCTAAGGAGCCCTGGTTGCTGAATTGTTAAGCGCTCGTCTTCTGACTAAAAACTTAGGAGGTTCTAACCACCAGCGGCTCCACGGGCAGCTTTTGTAAGGATTACAGCCTTGGAAACCCTATGGGGCAGTTCTACTTGGTCCTATAGGGTCAAGTTTGATGTGGTTTTAAGGTGTTTCAAAAAGTTTAACTAACACACACTTTGAATCCTAATCTGTAACTGCTATACAGCATAATGGTGAAGATAACAGAACTTTGATTCAAACTGTTTGGGATAGAGTGACAGCCACACCATGAACTTAAGCAAGTCATTTAGCTTCTGTAAGACTCAGTTTCTTCATCAGTAAAATGGAGGTGATAATCATGCTGACTGAATAGGGCTGTTATGAGGATTAAATATGTGTAATGAAATGTAGCTAAGGTTTTTAAGGGAACTTGCTCAATTGGATTTCACTTTTAACAGAGATCTACTCCCTCCTCTGTCCCCAGCTATGTGTGTCCCAGAGGGCCCAGTTAGTCTTGTAGGCAGCAAGTTCATAACCATTCTTGATTCTCCTGTATTCGCTAATCAGAAATCCCTTAATGCACACAAAATTCTGGGGTGTGGTTGGATTGTGCTTTTTGCAGTGTCGAGGGGTGAATTTTCTCATGTTGGAAGCAGGCTTACTAGGGCAGGGTCTCCAGGAGCCAGAAGTGACAAAAGACTCGACTCCTCAGTATCAGGCTGACCGAGGGCATTATCTCCCAGGCACAGACTTGCTGGAAAATCCCACGGTAAAATGGACCCTGCCTCAGCACGCATCCCCAGGAGCAAGGTGCCGAGGTGCCCGTGGGCTTCCTGCTCAGGGACCTGCTCTTGGGCCCTGGCTCTATGCCCACCCACAACAGCTCCGTCTGCTCTAATAAACTTCTCTTTCTCCTCCCTCAAAAACCAAACCTATTGCCGTCTAGTCAATTCCTACTCACAGTAATCCTATAAGGCAGAGTAGAACTGTCTAGGGTTTCCAAGGAAGAGCTGGTGGATTTGAACTGCCAACCTTTTGGTTAGCAACTGTAGCTTCTAACCACTGCATCACCAGGTCTCCTTCCTCAGGCCCTCCCTTGTAGCTCCTCAAACACAAAACCACTCCCTGTCTCTCAAAAGGAAGTGGTTAATAGTCCACTCTCCAGCTGTGTTTGGCCTGGAGACTTATTTTGTTTGGCTGTTACAAATTTTAAAAAGTTCTGAGCCAAATTAATAACAGAGAGTTTTCACCTAAAAGTCTAGGTTTCCTCCTCTTCTGGGGGAAGAAAAAAACCAGTCGGAACTTCTGGCTGCCTTGGGCCCTCATTCCACACATCTTGAGCTGTAGCAGCTGTTTCCCTTTGCCTGGGGCTTTCCGGCCACTCCACAGGATCCACACCACCTGCCTGGACTCTGGAGGCATTTACTCCAGAGCCAAGGCTGGGGACCCAGGCCTTCAGGGCATGAAGGAATATTGAATGATGGTCTTTGGGCAGCACTTGCCCTGCAAGTTCTGTCTTCCCACCCAGAAAATCAAAAGACTGTCCACTTGTCTCTGGTGGAGGGAAGTCCCCTAAAGAGACTCTACTATGCAGATTCTTAACAGCATAAGAACAGAAAGGCCAGGAGACAGCCACAGAGAAATGGTACAAGAGATCTGAAGGGATCTGGGTGGAGTTCACACAGTATTCTCCCCATCCAGCCTCAGTCCTCAAGTCTAACCAGCCCTATGTGCCCTCTCTAGGTGCACTAAGCATGTTTTGTTCTTTTGCCCTTTGTGAACCTATGGTGGTGGCCAATAGGTCTAATGGGTGTCATTTGGATCACAATATTTTCAAAAATATTTTTTCAATGTCTTTAGATGCAAATACACTCTCTGAGTCCCTTCAGGGCCCATCACTTCCTATGTCATTACACCTGGTGATTCCTGCCTATATTTTTCAATAATTTCACCAGAATATGTTCCAGTGGTAAGCATACTAGATCAGATTTTCCTAGAATCTGGTCTCTCTTGATTTTCAGATTCAACTTTTGCTATTTCTTGTGAACATTTTCTATTGCACTTGTTGCGTTCTCTTCTTCAGAAGTACCAGTTGTCTCTATATTGGATTGTCCTTGACTGCTTTGCGTATCTGGCTTCTCTCTGACTATTTTAATGGCTTCATCTTTCTCACTGCCATTTCCTGGGAGGATCAAGCTTTCCTTCTATAGAAGCAATCTGATATTTTTGCAGTATCTGTTCAGCTCCTTGCTGTTTATAATTAATTGTGTGTTATCTCTGTTTATGACTTGAATGTTTCCTCAGGTCTGAAGTCTTTCTTTTCATGACACTGTATCATTTTATCATCTTATTTTTTAGCTCTTTTATTATTGAATCCATTGTCAATATTCTCTAGTTCCAAGTACCGATGAAAAATTCTTTCAAGGGCTCAGTTTATTTTTCTTCTTGAATTGAATGTCTATTTTTTCTAACATTTACATGCTATGTTTTTTTTTTTTTTTCCTTACCTCTATCTCGTGCTATATCCACACTGGCTATAAGGCCCCTTATTACCTGTCTGATACCATTTTTATCTACTCTCTGTCTCCCTCACTCTACTCCAGTGACCCTGGCTTCCTAGATGTTCCTTGAAAACTCTAGTAGTTTTACGTCAGGATCTTTTAACTTTCTGCTCCCTCTGCCTAGAACAGCTCATCCCCTCCCAGCCTCAAGATTTTAGTGAAGCTTGTTTGATTACCATATTTGAAATTGAAGCTCCTCCCAGTTGTCTTCTCCAGAGTACTCATGACAGCCTAACAGATTGTATGTTTTTATTTATTCAATTCACCACCTGTGTCAGCTCACCCCTTTAAAATATAAGATTTTAATAAGCACTAAATAGGAGGAAAATACCTAGCAGGCTTTCAGCATATTATTTATTGACTGAACCAACGAATGAATGAAAACAAATTGGGAAGGGGTAGCTCCCATACAGAAATAAGATCACTGTTTCTAGAAGGGTGAATGGATGCAAGGCAGCCATAGAACCCCAGAGATGCACAAATCCAGGGGCACCATTAACATTGTATTATGTCTCCAGGAGGGGCCGTTCACATCAAATACAGGGTACACCTGATGTTACTATGTAAGGCTGGGGCCTAGGAGGGTAAAATCCATGGAGTCCAGTACAAAGATCCAGGCTAGGAATAGGCTTGTGCTGCCTCTAAAATTGTTCCTAAAGTAGGACTTTGAGAGGGGAAGTTTCAGCTAAAGGGAAAATTGAGTGGGTCACATACTATGAACACCATATATGCTTCTGTATAATTCTCCTTTTATTTTTAATAACAGTGTTTTCATTTTATTCTTTTTTTATTTATTTTATGTTGTACTTTTAGTGAAAATTACAATTCAAGTTAGTCTCTCATATAAAAATTTATACATACATTGTTATGTGACCCTAATTGCTCTCCCTATGCTGTGACAGCACACTCCTCATTTCCACTCCTGATTTCCTGTGTCCATTCAAACAGTTTCCGACTCTCTCCACCTTCTCATCTAGCCTCTGGACAGAAGCTGCCCATTTAGTCCATGTATGTACTTGAGCTAGGAAGCACACTGTTCATGAGTATCATTTTATGTCCCATAGTCCAGTCTAATCTTTGTCTGAAGAGTTGGCCTTGGGAATGATTTTATTTCTAGGTTGACAGAGAGTCTGGGGGCCATGCTTTCTGGAGTTCCTACAGTCTTAGTCAGACCATTAAGTCTGGTCTTTTTACGAGAATTTGAGTCTGCGCCCCACTTTTCTCCTGCTCCGTCAGGGACTCTCTGTCGTGCTCCCTGTCATGGCAGTCATTGGTGGTAGCTGGGCACCATCTAGTTCTTCTGGTCTCAGACTAATGCAGTCTCTGGTTTATGTGGCCCTTTCTGTCTCTTGGGCTAATATTTTCCTTATGACTTTGGTGTTCTTCATTCTCTTTTACTCCAGGTAGGTTGGTACCAATTGATGCATCTTAGATGGCCGCTCACTAGCTTTTAAGACCCTAGACGCCACTCACCAAAGTAGGATGCAGAACATTTTCTTAATAAACTTTGTTATACCAGTTGACCTAGATGTCCCCTGAAAGCATGGTCCCCAGACCCCCGCCCCTGCTACTCTGTCCCTTGACGTGTTTGGTTGGATTCAGCAAACTTCTTAGCTTTGGTTTAGTCCAGTTGTGCTGACTTCCTCTGTAGTGTGTGCTGTCCTTCCCTTCACCTAAGATAATTCCTGTCTACTCTCTAGTTAGTGAATAACCCTCTCCCTCCATCCTCACCCTCATAACCGTCGAAGAATGTTTTCTTCTCCGTTTAAACCTTTTCTTGAGTTCTTATAATAGTGGTCTTATACAATATTTGTCCTTTTGTCACTGACTAAATTCACTCAGAATAATGCCTTCCAGATTCCTCCATGTTATAAGATGTTTACACAGATTCATCATTGTTCTTTATCATTGCATAGTATTCCATTGTGTGAATGTACTAAAATTTGTTTATCCATTCATCCGTTGATGAGCACCTAGGTTGTTTCTGTCTTTTTGCTGTCGTGAACAGTGCTGCAGTGAACATGGGTGTGCATATATCTATTCATGTGACGGCTCGTATTTCTCTAGGATATATTCCAAGGAGTGGAAATCCTGGAGCATATGGCACTTCTTTTTCTAGCTTTTTGAGGAAGCGCCAAATCAATTTCCAAAGTGGTTGTACCATTTTACATTCCCACCAACAGTGTGTAAGTGTTCCAGTCTCTCCACAATGTCTCCAACATTTATATTTTGTGTTTTTTGGAATAATGCTAACCTTGTTGGGGTGAGATGGTTTCTCATTGTAGTTTTGATTTGCATTTCTCTAATGGCTAATGATCATGAGCATTTTTTCATGTGTCTGTTAGCTGCTGAATGTCTTCTTTGGCAAAGTGCCTGTTTATATAGTATGCCCATTTTTTAATTGGGCTATTTGACTTTATGT